CCTTTGTTTCAGTTTAAGGCCATTTCCAGAAAGTACAGAGCCCTGAATCAAATCAAACAAGTTTCAAATATTCTTTTTCCTAATATTTAATAAGACTGCATTCTTGACATCAGTTTACAAAATGCAATTCATTTTTTAATTAGGTAAACTGAAAACTCCTAGTTTGGAAGCATGCAGTAGTGTACCCCATTAATCTCAGCACTCTTTGCTTTTATTTACTGTCCTTTCTCCATACCTTTGTTTCAGCTAGGTAAACTCCAGAGGCTTTATACTGGGTTTTTTCCCTCACTTTTTCACTCCCACTAAAGTAAAAGATGACAGGTAATAATATAATGTGTGGTAGAAGGAGAAATGCTGACAGACATTGTGTTACTTTGCTTCAATTAGGCTCTAATTACTTCTTCTCTTCAATTAGAAAATCACATGAACCAATTATGCCAGATAATATGTGCTTATCCTATTCAAACTGCACAATGGGTAAGGTCTATTCACATTGATTATCTTCAATTTATGCTTTTAGCCTTTTTTTCCCTTCTGTCTGCATGGCCCATTACAGTTTTAAAGTGGAAGCTCTTAAGCAGTTCACAGTATTATGATATCATTCATAACAATTGTTATGTTTTGATGGAAGAAAAATTTTGATGCCTTGAATGCAGAGTGGAAAATCTCTTTGGATTGAATGTGTTCCAATTTTGCTATTTTGGTTAACAATATTCCCATGGTTTTTTAAATAAATATGATACAATGCAGTCTACTGTTAATGGACAGAGCTGAGTGAAACAGTTGGTTCTATGGGAACAAAGGCAGATTTCAAAACCAAACACAGGGTATTGAACACAAGAACTGCTCACTCATTGTCAGCACAGAGGTATCAGTCCTAAAAGCCCTATCAGGCCTCATTTGTGAATGATCTGCAGAGTGGAAGGCAATCAGCAAAAGCAAAGTGACAAGCTTAAAACCTATAAGTGAAGCCATAGCAATGTTTCCCTGAGAAATAAATGGAGGAGAAACATGATGGAAACCCTCACTAGTCATCAAACAGTTCAATAGGTCTAGGTGAGCAGAAAGTGGTAAGAAACAACACTGAATACTAGAGGCAACTTACAGTCTTTCACCTCTTCTTTTATAAGAACGTAAAGGATTATGCTGATATATGGTTTTATCTATCATTGCGCTTAACTGAGGAATAAACTCCTTTTTAATTCTTCAAAGATTAAATAAGAACACACTCCTTGCTGTCCAGCAATCTCCAGGGATGGCCAAACACCAGGTAAGCTTCAGCCAATTCCACAGGACACCTGTCTCAATCAATGGGAATCTTTCATGCTTAGAACACACCAACTCCATTCACACAGGCTTGCTTGAATAGAATTTATATGCAAAGAGGAGAAGTCTATTTCCTGTGAAACAAAGTAGATGCAAAAAGACAACAGCAACAATAAAACCCAACTAACCAACCACCACCAACAACTAAAAACCGCAAACAAAAACACAGAGTTCTTCAAATTTATATTCTCCTTTCTTTCACTGGGGTGAGGCAATGACCCTTGGATGCTCAGTCATCTCAGAAAAGACTTCCAGACACTGCTAAAAGCATGATGATTCCTCCACTATACAAGGCAAACAAATGCTTCTGCTGAAGGAAGAAAATAATTTCAGAGAATACTGTTTTAAGTGCGAAATGAATAATTTTCCCTTATGTACCTCATCTACTATACATTGTGTGCCTTTTTGTTGTCCAGTCACTCAGTCTTACAGGGCCTTACTGCAGTTTCTGATAGTTAGCTTTTGTCTATGCTACTCTAAACAGCTTGGTTCATACATTCCTTTTCCTAATGTTTGGAGGACATATCAGCTTAAGGTCTCTTTTAGTTTACCTCAGTACATTTTGAAATTCACCCTAATTTATAATTGTCTTCTATTTTCTTAATTTGGACTCAATCTTAATTTTTAAAAAAACTATGCTTTTCCTACTACCAACATTTCTTGCCCTAACTTTAGCTACACCAAGCATTTTTTACTCCTCCGTCAAGTCTTTCCATGAAGATACTGTGTATCAGCCCAGTGTTTCCAATAACGCACTGTTATCAAGTGTCATCCAAGCTACATGCAGGGATTTAATTCTTTTGGATGTCCCTTCTAGCTTGTTTTACAAGAGACTAGTTCAGGTGGAAGGGGCCTACAACTAATAACTAGTCCTACTGCCTGACCAATTCAGGGCTGACCAAAAGTTAAAGCCTGTTGTTAGGGGCATTGTTCAAATGCCTCTTAATCACTGACAGGTCTTTGGCACAGACCACCTCTCTAGGAAGACTGTTCCAGGGCTTGACCATGCTGTCAGTAAAGAAATGCTGTCTAAGGTACAGCCTAAGCCTCCCCTGGTACAGCTCTGAACTATTGCCACAAGTCCCACCACTGGATACAGGGATGAGATGAGCACCTATCTCTCCACTTCAAGTCCTCAGGAAGGTGAAGAGAGCAATGAAGTTGCCCCTCAGCCTCCTTTTTTCCTTACTAGACAAACCAAAGTCCTCAAGCTGCTCCTCACAGGACAGTTCTCCCAGCCTTCCACCAACTTTGTTGCCCTCCTCAGGACATTCAAGGACTTTTATATCTGTCTTAAACTGTGGGGCCCAAAATCACCTATTCCATTCTGTTCTATCAGTCCTCATCATTCAGTGAGCACTGGAGAACAGTCAGTAGGGTAAGGTTTCTAAGGTAAGTGGGACAAATCCTGAAGCTTATTTTGATATTCACAGTGAGAGCTAGCAGAGTAGCTTAGCCTAGGCACTTTACTTCTTAAATGGAATTAAAGACCAAAGACTTAAATAAACAGACTTGGGATGACCAAGCCATTTTAGATTTTATTCTAACTTCCAGTCAAGTATACTAGCAATGAAGGTTGTGATCACAGAGTCGTTAAGGTTGGAGAAGACCTTTAAGATAATCAAGTCTAATCATTAATCCCACCATTATAGTCCTATAAAATCTTATAATAGGACCTAAACCTAAATTATTATATGGTACAACTGTACCATTCATGAATTCCTGAATACTTTAATAGAAACAGAAAGACTGATCTGTGTATAACACATATATAAACACCTAAGATAGGAAGCTGAACTCTTTTTACATGTGGCATACAGACACATACTCCCAAAAAAGAAAGCTGCCCAGGAAAAATGAAATCACACTGCTGTGAAATAAAACCAAGGCAAAAATTTAAGAGTTAAACAGAAGCAAGTTATTTTGTATAACATTACGAACATGAAATGTGTATTTGTCAAAATGTAATTACAAAGAACTCTTCATATTACATGATATAATGAATGTCATAATGGAAGTTCAAACATCACAGGGAAACTAGTTACCTATGACAGGTGGAATCATTTTTCATTGAATTGTAACTAAAAGATGTAAAACCTGAAATGTTTGTGAGACTCTACTATTCTAAAAACTTACTACAGAGTTATATATATTTTAGGTAGGGCAAGCCTGTATTTAAAAAAAAAAGTTTGGCTAACAATATTCTTAGCAATCAAAATGCTCTAGAAAACTCAGCTTTGAAATAGTCTCCCCTCCCAATCCTATGTTTTTGAAGTCCAAATCTAGGTCCCACTAAAGTAAAGGTCTCACAATAACCTGCTTTCTCTGACAGCAGAAGGGAAAGCAGCCAAGTGAGACAGAGTTTTCTCACAAAAATTTTACAGTGGCAGAAATTAAAAAAAAAAAAAAAAATATCAGATGCCAAGAGACTTCCAGTCCATCTGCCAGATCAGAGACTGGAGCAAGTTTAAATGACGACCAAAACTTTTGGAAGTTGACATGAGCAGAAGTATTCCTCTTAAGAATCTTTCTTCTACCACTCAAAATTCAATAAAATTCACAGAGTTTTGCTGAAGTTCAAGAACCCTTGTCTAGCATTTTGGAGTTATAAAAGTGACAAAGAAACGGAAGTTAAATTTTTTACGATGCTTTTTGCACTCAAAAACTTAAACAGATTTGTTTCGAAGATGAGACTTCATTTCTCAATGGCTCACACTTCTTTCGATGGACATCAAACATGTCAACTTGATTGGAGTGACTACAAAGCCCTTAGAACTGTTTGCACAAAATCAGACTGAATCAATTGTCCCATCTCCTTTTAATGACAAAAGTCTATTTCTGTGAATTATCTTAGAGTCAGCTGGACAAGCCAATTGCTTTTGTCTGAGCTTGGACATTTTGGTCAGGGGAATATAAGAAAGGTCATTACTTGTTTTAAATATGAAGGCTGTTATACCACATAGAACTGATGAAGTTATTTCTCTCACTTGCTTAAAGTAAACCACCAAAGAAGTAATAACTTACATTTTCTGTCATTATGCTGGCTTCTATCCAGAAGCAGAAACAGCAGAACCAACAGTTCTGTGAGTGGGTTACTTTATTGCTAAGGAAAAAGAAATCCTTCTCTCTAATCCAAAGGGCTGCATTAGTGGAGAGGTCATACAAAGAGGGTTTCTATCGAGTTCAGACATGCTCCCACCTTAATAGAACTGAAAGTTCTGTGTATGTCTCTTCAGCAGTATTATGTGCTCTCCAGCTAGTAAAAATAAGGAGGAATAAAATTAGACCTTGTCCACAGTTGCAATTATTTTGGGGCAGGTACGGTACAGCAATAAATACAAGACCAGAGACATGAGGCAGCAATTCAGCAAGGAAAAAGTTACCATGCACACACACACACACACAAAAAAAAAAAAAAAAAAAAGGAAAGAAAATGCAGGTTTTAAAATGCACCTATGCAAATTCATGGTCTCTTGGGTATTCATAACAGTGTAAAGTGAAATGCAGTTTATGAGCATGAAGTATTCTCATGGTTGGTTTAAACTATTATAAATTGCACTGCATTTACCCCTTATACATACTACTTAAAAACAATTATGACCCATAAGTAAATGCTTTTACTTGAAATGTTGCTTATTGTGGAAGGCACTATACCCTTGTCATTCACTTTTAAGTTTCAGAAATAGATTACAAGAAAGGCAGAACCGAAATATTTTGCCCATGAGAAGAATTCGAGTATGTTAAATCTTTTCCTGGATACTACATCTATGACATCAGAAGAATTTTTGCATCGCAAGGGAAGCAAACACTCACATGGAAGTCAAAAGGGATAAAGCAGCATGTCAGGGAAGCAGATCCAGAAGAAGCATAAGACAAGATCCAAGGATTTTATAACGTGTATTTTGTAGTTTTAGGTATGTAAAAAAATTTAAAATATTTGGGCTTTAAATTTTCATCTTAAATGAAAACTTAGTTATACTAAAAAGTCAGCTTTGAAACAGATTACTTGAAACTAGTTTTAGCACTGAAAGGGAAACAGGTTGATGTAATTCAGTGGAGAAAAATAGGATTTTTCTATGTAGACAAACTCTGCAGTGATCAATCAATTTTATAAAGTAGCAGATCTGGTATGGAGGACTTATGCTTAACAATTATAATTATGGAACAGTATCAGTGATGAATACTCTGTGTTGTGAATACAATAGTATTGTATTTTTAGACCACTGTATAATTTCTGGGCACACTTTGATGATTTTGCTGGCTACTCACCTATTTTATAAATCAGCAGGAGACTTGACAAGATGAGAAAAAAGTTTCCTCCTCCCTAGATTTATATATGTTCAGTTATATTCATTGTTATGCTGTTCTGAACAACTTACTCATTGATTTATGGTATGTGCTCTGTAAAACCTTTTTAATGTTTTATGTGCCCTGCATGTATCTCTTACTTTAAAAAAACCCAGTAAAATTTCAAGGAAAGTTTCAGAAATTCGATTCAGCACAAAAAAGTTACATAAATTGCCTCTTTTTCACAAATTTATACAAATCTATTTATTCCTTATTCTTCATCCTTAGGGAAGTAAAGGAAGCACCAATGGGTTACATCATGTGTCAACACAACAACAGGAAAAAAAAGTTTAAAAAGAGCAAGAAGTGACTCATGCCTTCAGCCTCATTCTCTCTCTCTGAAGACATCTCAGATTGTCCATAATGTCTGCTCTCACAGGGAGAAATTATGAAAAAGGAGCTGAACCTATCACTTCCAACAGGCTTAAGCACTAAGCCAAATTAAATTTATATTCATATGTTCTAAAACTGTTTGGATCTCTGCCCTTCATTGCCAGAAAGGTTAAGGGCTTCCCTCTCTTTTAGCACCTTTCTCAGAAAAGGGTGCACTGGAAAAGAGCCAGTATAATCCTCCCTCTCTCCCAGGGTTAGGTCAGAATTTTCCCTCTTCCCCAACCGTGAGGCAGAGGGAATAGATTCTAAGGACCCTATGGATGGTACCTTCCTTTTTACCATGCCCTTCTGAGCAACAGATGGGCTGCTCAGCTGGTTTACTGCCCTTTGTCTCTCAGCTATTTTCCTTTCTTACCCCTGAAAAGCAGCTGAAAATTAAGTATAGGGAAGAAGAAATGCAGTGTTGGTAAATTTGAAAGGAAATAACGCTCACAAATTCTTTCATAATTGTACCCATTCTAATGACTTCAAGCAGGTGCCACTGCAATACTCCACTCATTACCCTGTAAGGCTTCCATCTAAAGTATTATCAATGCCTTTTTTTTTAAAAAAAAAAAAAAAAAAACAAACCAAAAAAACACAAACCACATTTAATTCCTTAAATAACTTTTTCTATTTCTGGGCATTTAGCCCAACAAGTCCTTAGTGCTATTGTAATGCAAGTAATAAATAATCATTTCCTCTCCACTGACTAAGAAAATAATTGTTCCTATTTCACAGTTGAAAAAAAAAAAATTACTTCCCAGATTCCCCAGAAAGTCTCCTTGAGCCTGTCAAATGCCACAGCCACAAGACTCCTTTGCTTCTTTTTAAGATATCAGGTGACTTGCCCAATTCCATCAGAAATATAGGACATTCTTCAGAATGAAGCCACAGGAAAAAAAGAGACAAGTTTCTGGAAGAATCTGTTCCTAGGTGCTCTCTGGCTGGACTAGCAATAACAGGGAGCACTTGCAGGTTTGCACATCTGATACTTGGAGCAGAGATGCCTCCTTGCAGAGGGTCTGAATGTGCTCCATGACTGGGAATTTGAAAGGTGTTGGAGTAGGAGCACTGAAGAACACTCTGTAACACACACGTTACACTACATACCCAAGGTTGTTCTCTCTAATACAAAGGCAGGTTTGGGGCAACCCAAACCTCCTTCCCTGTAAAACTTTAGTCTAAGTTAACAGCTAACTCAAATCAAGAGTACTTTGGGCATCGTAGCAGCTGGGAGCCAGTATGAGGGAAAAGGAAAACCACAGCCAGAAGATAATGCTGAGAAGCAGCTGTTAGTATGGAAGAGGGTTAAAATAGCCCTAAATAACACCTTTCAAAGGCACTCAGTATATAGAAACTCAAAGTGAGATTGAAAAAAAATTTAAATGGATCAGATTTAGCACATAATGAAGTGCATTTTCAGTTCACCTCATCAGTGGAAAATAAGAGACCAGCAATACTGCCAATGTGACATATCCCACAGAGACAGAACAGAACATGCTGGGAACAGCTTGTCTCAGCATATCATGTACATTAGACAAGGTAATGTCGTACATCCCAACCACGGCTTTGGCCACGTCCCCAGGAACCAGCGCATTCCACAGGCTCTGTACTTCTCTATTCGGCATTCACCGTCCCTCACGTGTTTCAACCTGATGCCTGCAATGCGAGCAGCAACACATTGTCTCATTGACATTCCTCTGCCAGGCTTGTGATGGCAGAAAGCAACGGCACCCTCCAACCTGCTCCCACCCACCTGTGCCCACTGCACTGTGTCCCAGGTCTTTACTATTCCCAGCATGATCACCAAATGTGGCAACCACAGCACGCTCCTACCACAGCCCTTGCCCGCATGCCCGCCTCCCTCACAAGCCAGAGCTGAGGAATACAAAATTGTAGACACAGTGTTTTGAGAAACAGCTTAATGGAAGTTACCAAGGGATGTGAATCTGACTTTATAACAGAGACATGTACCAATTTGAGTTTGAGTCCAATTCCCAAAATGGTATTATCTGTGTAGTGTTAATTCTTTATTATTCAAAAGATTGCTAACTGTTCATATCTGCACAAATGTGTTCATGCTTCATTCATTCCAAGTCAATAATAATGGATTCTTACTATTGATTATACATGAGCCTTTTTGTCCCATCATAATGAAATTTTAATGTTGATGGTCCCAAAACTATTATTTCAACCTAATAACAGCAAGGCTTGACAATTACCTCGCTCTGTGAATTGCAGATAGAACTAATAAGGTCATTCTTAATAACATTTTGTTTACCTGACATTTGGTAATTTTATAGTTATTATGTATTATTTTAAAGTCAGAGGAGTGTTTTGCAAAGAAATGTTGTCTCCCCGTGGAATAAAATACAATTCTGCCAGGGGAAAGCCTTTTTCCTGCCTGCTCCCTGACCTGAAGTGGGGCACTTGCTGCCATTTACCTGAGCCCCTCAGCCCAGGGGAGAGCAGCACAGCTCCACAGCTGCACTTCAAAAACTCAAAAAAAAAGTGGGAGAGAGGGGGGAGAAGAGGGGGGAGGGCAAGGAGGAGGAGGCAAGAATCTTAAAATCTTAGAAAAATCTTTAAGGGAAAACTTATTTTGAGAATCAGCAGGAACAGATCAAACAGTGACACAGTATTAGCCAGATTCAGAGAACTGGAGGGCATTTCCATCTCACTGTGCATGCAGCATTGGTGTGGGACTGTTGTCAGGAGGTTTCTCCCCTTTCCCAGGATAACCAAGTGCCCCCCAACACCAGCACACCATATCCAGGGAGCAGGGAATTTTATTCCCAAACAGATCTCTTGCCCTTACCTGGCACTGCTCACTGCCTGGCCCATCACCTTGCTGCATTCCTGCCATGTGAGCAGGTCACCCTGATGCTGCCACCCACTGCCAGCAGACCCCACTCCTACAGCAGCACAAGGACCCCAAGGCTAAACCCCCACTTCATCAAAGAGCACACTTTTCCCTGCAATGTTGGGCTGTTTCCACCACTTTTAATCCTTTGAAGCACTGTTAGCCCTGTGCTGTACCCAAGCTGCCCTCTCCAAGCCACTGCAGGCTGTGCCTCTCCACAGAACCTTCTAGGGCAGGGCAGACTCCCTATAGGCAGCCAAGGAAACAGCTGCCCAGCCCCAAAAACAGGGCTTTCAGCCCAAAAGGCAAACATTGATCTTAGGGATACATGTGGTGAGGGAAACTGGGAGAAACTAGCAAGAAAGGAGACCACTGGAAGGTTTCAGCAGCAACTACACACTGGGCAAAGGTACACCAGCCTTCGGGGGGAAAGAGTAGGAAGAGCTGCAGAAGGACTCCAAGTCCAAGCCATGCACAGAAGTACAGAGCAAGCAAACAAATGGGATTTGAACGGATGTTACTGGAGTAAATATACCTGTAAATGCACTCAGTGTTACCAGGTTAACAATGTGTATAAGCACAGTAACAACCCGAGCTGATGTCCTGTCCCAGGACTGGGGTGCCACACACCCTCCTCTGCTCAGGCACACCTGCAATGATTTTTCTACAGAAAACCCACACTCATGGATACAGACCTGCCTGTCAGACAAAGTCCTTAAGGATCTTTCAATTCAGGAAAGATTATATTACATAGAACAAACTTTCCTCCTTGTTCTAGTCTCTGTGCTGATGGCAGGTTGGCTAAACTGAGGAATGTGGCTCTAAAATCATTTTGGGAATGATGAAGCATTCTGGTGAGAAAGCTGGCAAGACTTGCAAGGTACTTGTGTAAGATTCTCTAATTCCATGCATTTTCCAAGGAAATAGCCACACTTTCTTGAAGGAGACAGTTGTGCCTGTTATCTTTACCCCAGCACTAGCACTTGCCTGGCTTTACCCTTAGCACTCAAGACCAACAGGGCACTTTTAATAAATACCATTTCTGAAACAGGAGACAGAAGAATAAGCAATAGTAATCATCAAAAAGAAATCCCAGGGCTAAGATCCTTTTTGTCATCCAGTCTCATGCACACCATTACCTGATTAACTAGTATTTTAGTGCTACAGAGATCCCAAATACGACAGGGATACAAATATTGGAAGTAGCTATTTGCAATTGTTACAGTCTGCTTCCAATTACTTCATTCCCCAGACATACTGAAATAGTCAGGGTTTGATTTAACATAACATTCAGTCCAAGGCAGGTAATTTTACATGGTTAAAGAACGAACTTCAGAGGGAAAAAAAAAAAAAAAAATGGATTGAGCCTGTACTTGGGCTTACTGAGCAGTAGCATCCACATCCACTACTTCAATATATAGCATTGGTTATGAAAATGACAAAGCAGGATTTACTTTTCCTTAAATTCTGGTTTTGTTCATTGCTTTAGTTTTCAACACCTCTTTAACACTTCTGTAGTTACACTGTTTGAAACATATACAGTAACTGCTGTGATGAAATTTTAACTATCGCTATATTCTGAAATTCCTACCTAATTTTGGCTCCTCAGCTAAAAGTTTGCAGGAAGTACTTAAAACAGAGAAAGAATATCCACTTATATTAATATATGTCTAGTGAATTAAAATGTCCCTGTCCTTGGGGGAAAAAAAAAAATCTTTCCCACTCTCCTGAGGACAAAAAAAGGCATTCAGCTTTCCACAAAAGACTCGACTAAACAAAGAGAACCTCCACACCACACAGCAGAAATGTTATATTTGTTATGAAGCACCAAGTCAATGTTTACCACACAGGAAATACTTCGGTTTTCATGAAAAAAATTTCTTTCACATGTATAATGTGCTGAATGTTGGATTAAAAGGCTGGAACCAGGAGATCCAAGTAGTGAACCTCCCAGTTAGAAACCTGCAGATGATTTTGCAGACTGTTACTTTTCCTCAAGAAAAGTAAGCTTTGTTGAGCTCAACAGAGGAAAAGGATCTGGGTAGAGGTTTCTCAAAGTCTTCCTAAAATTAAAAATGAAGCTAATTTACAACATAGAGGTTCAAACTGAAACAAAATCAGTTAAAAAGTCAATAAGCAAGGGGTTTTTTTGCATATTTTCCCTTATCTCAAAAATATAAACAAAATTAGCAAAACAAAATGAGCTTCCTGTTCTCTACAATCACTACTCTCACTGCAATCTGTGAAAGTTGTAAGTACATAAATCATAGACAGCCCTCTACACATTTGCAATATCACACATAAAATCCCTATAGTTTTTTATTGGCATCCAGATTTCTGAACCCTTTTTCCTAAAGACTCTTAGAACATCTGTGCTGAACAATTCTTTTTTTTTCTTTTTTAAGCTACTTGGAATAAATTTTAGAGCTACCAGGAGCATCATTTCATGCAAAATTACATATACCGAGGCTCCATTTATGATACTTGTGAGATCAATATGTAAATAAAAATGAAATCAGAGCTGGTTAATTATTACCATTGACATAGCAAATGGAAAGGAAGAGGAAACACCACCACTC